GGTTATTCCACTGAGCCATCTCCCCCACCCACAAACATTCTGTCAATGAAATTATTAGAAAAATTGTCTTAGCCATCATATATATATATATATATATATATATATATATATATGTGTGTGTGTGTGTGTATGTATATAACTTTCCCTTTTTCCCATTCAAGTTATTCTTTCCCTCTGAGCAATTTCTTTCCCTTCCATGGTACCACCTTGGATCTTATTTACTCCTTCAGTTTCATTCACTAGAGAGATAATATAATGTTTACACACACATTTGATTTATTTATTTAACTTATGAGTATGGGTTAAAACACTGTGATTTCGTTTCACCCCAAAAGAATGACTATCAGCAAGAAATCAACCAATAACAAGTGTTGGTGGGGCTGTGGGGGAAAAGGAACACCTTTCCACTTGTGGTGGGGTGTAGACTGATACAGTAACTGTAGGAATCAGTGTGGAGGGTCCTCGGAAAACTAGGATTAGGGGCCGGCCAGATAGCTCAGTGGATGAAAGTGCTTGCTTAGGCAGATGCAGGAACCCGGGTTCAATCCCTGGCATGCCATGCCAGCCCCACTCCCGGACTGTGCTGAGACGGCGACTGAGACTGGGCCTGGTGGTGTGTGCCTGTAATCTCAGTATTTGGGAGGCTGAAAACAGGAGGATCACTATGAGTCCAATCTGTGTAGTGAGACCCTGTAGACCCTGTACTAAAAACATAAAAAAAACCCCACAAAAACCCAAGATTAGATGTCCCATTCAACAGGGTTATTCCCTTTCTGGGTACTTTCCCAGAAGAATTAAAACCTCACACCACAACAACATATGTGCACACATGTATATAGAGCACAACTTGTCATAGCTAAATCTTGGAAAGAACCCACATACGTATCAAGCGAAGAATGGATAAAAAAACATGTTGTGCACTGGGGAGATGGCGCAGCAGCATAAGTACCTGCCTGGTAGGTGTAAGGTCCGGAGTTCCATCCCTGGTGCTGAAAAAAAAAGTTGTACTTTTATGCAATGGAATATTACTTGGCTATAAAGAAGAATAAAATCAAATCTCTTACAGGTAAATGGATACAACCAGAGACCACACTCACAAGTGAAATAAATCAGACTCACATGTCTACGTTTTGACAAATTCAAATTTATTATTTTCTGGAATATATTGCTAGTATCTTTTGTGCCCTGTTTGAGACATCTCTGTTTTTCTAAGGCTAGGAAGACATCTTAATTTTTTATTTTTTAAACTGTTCTGGGCATCAAACCCAGAGCCTTCTGCATGCTGGGCAAGCACTTTACTTACTACATAGCATCCCCCTGTCCAGAGACAGTGTTCTTTGTTCTCCTTTCCCAGCTTAGGGTAAAGTTTCTCCAGGATGTTCACCAATTTCTTCACTCTTTGCACACATAATACTATTCCCCAGTAATAGAGCATGTTCTTTCCTCCTCCTGAATTTGCCTGGCCATCAGAATGCAGTGATTCGGCATTCTGGAAGTGTGGAGGCTCGGCCATAAGAAGGCCTTAAAACTTCCACCGCACTTACTTGAGACACTCACACTAGAGAAGCCCCGGTCGTGTTCACGTGCCCTGTCCTGAGACCACCGTGGTGAGGAAAGGTGCCCCAGCGCACAGTGAACAGCTCTAGTAGATCAAGCATCCGCTGTGTGCATGTCTCATTCCCCGGAGAAGCCATGTGGAGAAGAAGTGAGGTCCCTGACGCGCACCCCCGAAGGGCTGTCACAGGGCCTCTCAAGCCGTCCTCGCTGAGCCTGCAGATGTCGTGGAACACATGTGGGAAATCCTCGCTGTGCCTCATTCAGACTCCTGATCCTACAATCTTAATATTGCGAGTGATTGTTTCAATACCTCTAAGACATGCAGCGGTTTGTTTAGCAGTGTTAACAAGAACGCAGCATCATGGGTTTAGCTTTTACACTGACTTCTATGACTCATCTAGGTATATTTGTGTACAGTGTGAGGGAGGGTGGAGCAGCTTTTACCCCTCCCTAGGTATTTGTTAGCTTCATTTATTTATTTATTTATTTTTGGCAGAACCAGGGATTGAACTCAGGCCCTTGTGCTTGCCAGGGAAGCGATTAGTCTACTGAGCTATCTCCCCAGACCTAACTAGCTTCATTTATTAAAAAGAACTTTTTTCATCCATTGAATTACTTTAGCAGCATTTAAAAAAATCAAGTGACTAGCTTTGTGTGGATCTATTGCTGTATTCTCTGTTCTGTGCCCTTGTTTAACTTTTTATTGCATAGTTTTTCTTCTTCAAGAATGTTTTGGCTCCTCTGATGTACTGCATTTTCTTTTTTTAACTTAAAAAACTTTTATTTATTTGGTACAGGGTCTTGCTATGCAGTTTGAACTTATACTGATCCTCCTGTTTCAGCCTCCCCAGCACTGGGATTACAGGTGTATGCCACCACGCTGGGTTTCAGTGGCCAGCACAGGATGTGGTACTGGGGATTAAACCTGAGTCCTTGAACTTGCCAGGCAGGTGCTTAGACCACTGAGCTGTCTCTCCAGTCCTGTATTTTCATATAAATGTTGGGTAACCTAGTCAACGTCTGAATGAAAAACATCTTGCCTGGATTTTGATTGAGAGAGTATTAATACATCAATTTGGAAAAATAGACATTTTTAAAAATGTATTTGCTACAGGGTCTCACTATGCAGCTTGGACTCATTGTGATCCTCCCATTCTCAGCCTCCCCAGTGCTGGGATTACAGACCGCCCAGTCTCAGTGGCCAGCGCAGTGTGCCCAGGGCTGGGGCTGGCATGGCCTGTGGTGCCAAGGATGGAACCCTGGTCTCTGTGCCTCCTTGAACAGGTGCTTAGTCCTTTGAGCTATCTTGCCTGCCCCCAAAATACACATCTTTAAACACCAAGCCTTCCACTGAACATGCATATTTTAGTTCATCTTTAACTAGATTTTAATTTTTCTCAAACATATTCTTAATTTTCAGCATAGAGGTTTTTGACATTTTTTTTTTGTTGTTGTTGTTGAATGCATTTCAAGAAAAGTCTACCCCATGAGAAGGAACTCAGCACCCAACGAACTGAGCTGGTGGCTAAAAGTCAGGCGGCTTGAGCGTCAGATGCTCAGCTGTGGTGGAGCTAGCACCGTCTGGCCTAGTTACCTACAGTGGTTTGGAAGTCCGTCTTGGGCTCAAGGTGCCGACTGCACCTTTCCGCCAGGAAATCTTAAGGGCTGGAATCCCTCTGTTTTCTCACCTCAGCTGAGGGCTGGTCCAGAGCGTGCAGAAGCGTGCGTGCGTGTACAAACAGGTAGCTATCGCTTCCTTGGTGCGGTGGCTTTGACCACCCCCAAAAGAGTTAGGACTCAGGGAGCCTCTTACATACAATTCAGGACCTTTGCTCAAATGTGTATGATGTGTGGTCATAACCAACCTTCAATGGTGAGCAAATGAATACATTGATATAAGCCAAGACAGTATACTGTGATAGGTTTGATGGTAATTTTGAAGAACAAACGCAAATAGTGACATTAAAATGAAAGAATAATTTCTAGATATAACTAATACATTAACAATAATCACTGCAAGATGTTATTGATCACTTACTATCTTCAAGACACTTTAATAGCCAGTTAGTACTTGGGATGATTCTAGATGAATTAAAAAATAAATGACCTTCTCCTCAGGGAAACTTTGTCTTTAGATCCTATAGAAGGCATTAAAATATATACATGTAATAGTAACTAGAAAAGCTAGCATTTCAGGGTACGAACTTGCCATACACTAAAAGGAGTGACAAAATATTTTTATATTAAAGAGTTCCAGGCAGATTTTTAAGTGTGTTACTTGGCCACTAAAGTATAAGGAAGACTTAAGAGGAGATTTGCATAGGACAGTGATAGCATGGCTTTAATGGCACAAATAAAATAAATGAACTTTAAAATTCTGCGAACTCCTTCATAAGGCTATAGCATGTCCAGCATGCCTATGAAGGCATGAAACGCAGTACGGAAAAAGTGTTGTCCGAGAGAATGCCAGAGCCAGGCATCGTACGTAGCACTTTGCAATCCTAGCTACTTACTTGCTGACCTGAGTTAGTTAAGTAGTCTCTATTAGCTGTAGTTTTACCACTTTAAAAAATCAAATGAAAGTTTGTCATCTTTTTATATAAATATAAAACAACACATAGAATTCACTATTTGTGAATAATGTCACTATTTGTGTTTGTTCTTCAAAATTACCAGCAAACCTATCACAGTATACTGTCTTGGCTTATATCAGTGTATTCATTTATTCACCATTGAAGGTTGGTTATGACCACACATCATACACATTTGAAGCAAGGATCCTGAATTCTATGTAAAAGAATTTTTATATAAATATAAAATATATAGTGCTAACCAATTGCACCACTGGAGCTTCCTGTCATCCTTTTATCGAAAGGCTTCAGCCTCTGTATTTAGCGCTACACTGTAAGTAGGACATATGGCTTAGCTTGTAGGGAAGGCTTTATGCATCATGTCGACTCTCGCAGGCCCCCTTCAGGTTATGTTATTCTAGTTCTGTGCAGATGTGTTATGAACTACGGTAACTGATAGCAATGCCAAGTGGCCCTTGTCAGCGTCGTGCAAATCCTGTTCCGCCAGCCACTGCACTGGTGCCTCTCTTCTGCAGTGAAAGAAGCAAGTCTTACATCCATTTGCATGTTTCTCTCGACATTTCTTTATTCTCTTTAAATTTGTAGATTTTATAATTTTGGGAAACTATCACATCTTTAATTTGCTTTTATATTTCTATCAGAGTCATTGCACTTTTCTTTTTAGTGAATGTTACTTTGGTAAGACTTGTCCATATCACTCATGATGGCATGGCTGATTTGCATTTATATATGTGAGAAAACACCCACAAGTGTTCGATACATTGGATAAACTTATGTCCACACAAAATAAGTGTGCTTGAAGCAAGTATTCTCCCTAAGGCTCTGTAACTCGGCGTACGTCTCTGCCCTTTCTTACTGCCTCCCGATAACCTTCCTCAGGGCCCCCTTCACCTCCTTATTCCTTAAAGTGTAGATGAGCGGATTCAGCATGGGTGTCACCAGGTTGTAGAAGAGCGTGAGGAACTTGCCTTGGTCTTGGGAAGAGCTGTTTCCCGGCTGCATGTACATGTAGATGATGCTCCCGTAGAACAGGGAGACCACTGTGAGGTGGAAGCTGCAGGTGTTGAAGGCCTTCCACCTCCCGGCGGCTGACTTGATCCTCAGCACGGCTGCGGCAATGTAGCCATAGGAGACAAGAATGAGAGCCAGGGGCAGCAGGACGATGAGGACAGCGAAGGCGAAGGCCAGCATTTCCACGGCACGGGCGTCTACACAAGCCATCTTGATCAGAGCTGGCATCTCACAGAGGAAATGGTTAACTCGGCGCTGGCCACATTTGGACAGAGTCATTGTCAGTGGGGACATGACAATGGCATTGACCAGCCCACTGCCCCAAGCCACAGCAACCAGCTGTAAGCACAGCCGGGGGTGCATGATGACCGTGTAGTGCAGGGGTCTGCACACAGCGGCATAGCGGTCGTAGGCCATGACGGCCAGCAGGATGCACTCGATGCCCCCCACTGAGAGGAAGGAGAAGAGCTGGACCACGCAGCCCGCATAGCTGATGGTCTTGTCTGGGCCCCAGAGGTTCACCAGCATCTGTGGGATGCAACTGGTACTGAAGCAGAGGTCCAGGAAGGAAAGATTTGCCAGGAAGAAATACATGGGCGTGTGAAGTCGAGGGTCTAATATACACACGAGGATTATGGTTGAATTGCCCAGCACAGCCACTGAATACAGGGTGAAGTTCACGATGAAAAGCACCATCTCCAGTCGGGGCCGGTCAGAGAAACCCACCAAGATGAAGCCATGCTCCATGCTGTCGTTGGATTGTTCCATTGTCTGGTATTTCACACCTGTGCAGGTAGTGGGTGTGAAGAAAATGGAGACTATTATTCTGTATTTTCTAAAATATACATCACGTCGAATCCCTGTTTGTCAACATGTATAGGAAGTTACTTCATCTAACTTAGTTTTATTTAAGGTAAGCCATTCACTTCCTTTCAACTCTCCTTCACTTGGCAAGGTTGCCAGGTGTACTGTTGCCCTCCACATGACCTAACAGTTGACAGTGACCTGACAATGGGACAACCAGGACTGATCTCAGTACCAGAGATGCTGCTGCCTAGCTTGGCATGCCATTACAATCTATTACAGCCAGAGAATGTGGGGCAATGTGCATTTATTTCATGGGGTCAACGCCACATTTTAACTTAGGGCATATAATGCTATCTACTAAGCACAACTTGTTCTTCATTGTGGTAAATGCTATCAACTCAGCTTTCCACCATCTATTTCATTCTGAGTAATAGCACTCTGCAATCTAGATTGCCAAAGTTACAAAGAACCTCACAATGAAGCAGCAACTTGGATGTGTTTTGTCTTTCATTAGCCCTTTAGAAACATCAGGACACCCAATAGAGAAGCACATGGTAACAGCAATGAATGGAGAGAAATGGGAGGAGAACATGCTACAAGAAGAATATTTAGAAACGGAATTAATAAAAGACTGACCCTCATGTGGCTAAGAAGAACAACGAGAGCTGGATTCATGCAGAACACACTCAGAATTGGACTCAAGGATACAAGGATGGGACTGAGGGAACAGAGGCCCATGTACAAGGGAGCGTCTCCGACCTCTCTTCATCTTGATTCTTTGGCAATGTGAGCACAAAGAACAACACCAAAGTTGTTAAATGCATGTTGCAAAATACCTAGACTGCGCAAGTGTGATCCAGGGATTAAGGAATGCTTCTGATAACAGTAGATTCAATTAGTAAACTTGGAAAAATAAGGGCAGAATATGACTGAATGTTGTCAGAGATTTTGATTTTCAAATAAAAAGCTTACCTTTGATAAAGACTTCTCAACTCTGCAGTTCCTAAAGTTCATCATCCACAGGCAAATATAGTATACAAAGCAAAGTAACAATGCTGTCATTTTCTGTAGTCCTTTAGGCTTACCTGGTTTTAATTTTCCTGAGACATGCAGGAAGAACATCTTTTTCCCCTTATGCTTTTGTTTGTTATCTGGTGTTTTATGGAAGATTATATAAATGATTAGGTAGAAAGTGAGAAGGTTCCAAGCTGGGGCTATAGGTCAGAGGCATGGTGCCTGCCTAGCAGGCACAAGGTCTTGAGTTCAGCTCCAAGTTACTAAAAAAAAAAAAGAAAGAAAGAAAATTTATGAGACAGCCACACCAGAAATCATGCAGAAGTGGTTATAAAGATCTCAATAGGCTGTCAAGCCCCAAACTCTCTCCTGTGAATTAGTGTCTAGTTTCTTTCTGAAGATGAAAGCATTTCATTTATGATTTGTTTAAACTGATAAAAGTATTGGTATAATACTCATTCTAATAGAAGATAAGATGGAGCGATTGCTTGGACTAGTTAAATCACAGAGAAGATGGGCAATTGTAGAAATCAGCATTAGCATCCTTCTGTCAGTCTGCCAGGTGACTAGGTCTTCACAGTATTTCTGGAGCTGCCGCCAAAGCCCTAGGCCAAGGACTGCCTGCCCTCCCCCCACCCCCAGGGCAGCCAGTGACCATGCAGGTGCTCTGGGAGACTCTGGTGGAAAAGCCTGGCGAGTTGCTAAGTGCCAGAGATGGCACCTGGAAGTCGGCATGGCACATTTTCTTGTTGACACCACGGGGCCCGCACACTCCTTTGGGTAACTGGTTAGTACTGCAGTTGAGAATAGAAGGTATGCTCTTAGGGGAGATGTTGGAAAAGCATCAGAAAATTGGGAGCCAAGACTCTGGGTGACTGATTTTCCCTCTGGGGCCACAAGTGTTCACAGCCTCCAGATTTGACCATTTATTCCTCTGGCAAAACATTCCTGGTGTTTGCCAGGACAAAAGGGTTGTCAGCAACACAGAGGAAGTACGAACAGCTTCTCAGTACCTCTGCACCCTTGAATTGAAACACTGGAAAGCATTACAATTATAAAAAATAAAAAGTTTTTGGAAAGATAATTCAGAATTTCTTTGTATTTTAGTATAATTTTCAAAATGGTAATCCAAAAGGATATGATATTTATATTTTTGATACTTAATTTCTAACTTGCATTTTCAGTTTAGACTAGCAAAATTAGTGGATGTAAATACAAACACATGGAATTTGATTGATTAGTGTTCTTTAAATTATGCTCAAACAGAAAAAGGAAATCACAGTGATTACCCTTAGGCCAAAGTAAATTGGCCCTCAAGAACCGCCAGTCAGTGAAACCAAGGACCAGAGACACATTCAGAGCTGTAGTATGGCTAAAACACAGTCACTGATGCATGAATTCAGCAAAATAATCCAATATAGTCCAGTAATCCATAACAGTAGTGGGTTATCCGTAGGACTGGCAATGTCAGAAGTTGTTGACTTGAGCCTTTTATAGCTCAGCATATTAACATGGCTTTACTTTTTATACCTCCTTTTCTGCTGGATGGTTAAGACCAAGATAAAGCAAGACCTATATAACAAGAAATGTAGCTTTTGTATCTGATGAGGTCAGTCAAATCCCCTCAGGATTTACCCTGAAACCCTGCACCGCAGTGTGTCGATCCTGTGTCAGTGTCAGCCGTGTGGATGAGTCACGGCCATTGCTTGGCCAGTTTGCCCTCTGTGAAGGCCTGAGAGGATGTTATAGCAATGGAATCCCCATCTCTGACAAAACTCAACAAAAAAAGGGGATACAAATGAAGGACCAGTTTGTACCTGTATATACAAAATAGGAGAGATATATAGCTACTTTCTCTTAATTCAATGAGAAGATTTGTACTAATAGTGTTTGTACAGGATATCATGTCTGCATCTTGTACTATGAATAACCACTATGAAGACAACAATATGCAATGTATTAATTATTGAAACTGTCTCATTGCTATTTGTTTCTCAATAAAATTAAAAAAAAAAAAAAAACAGTCCCTGAGAGGAGGCCTTAAACTCAAGAAGTTTCTTCAAAATGATGTTTGAAACTCACAACTGACCCTAAAGCTCATTTCAGAAACAGAATATGTCTTATGAAAGTAAGAAAGAAGAAAAATTAAGAATCAAGGACTATGGCCAGTGAACTAATGACAATGGCCTAATAAGTCCCAGATAAATCTCATTCACAGTTTTTTTTGTTTTTTTTTTCGGAACCAGGGATTGAACTCAGGTCCTTGCGCTTGCCAGGCCAAGTGCTTATTCCACTCATTCACAGTTTTGAGAACAGTGAAAAATATTTACAACACATATGTGGAACATATAGCAAGTATTTTTAGTGATCAAAGAGTTTTCCCACAATTTACATGAGCAAGACTAAGGGCAAAGGACAATGTACAACTTATTGAAATGTACAAATACGGTCCTGAAACATACAGCATTTTTCAGCCTTATATATGACTAATTAAATACACGTTAAAACAGCCCTAATCGTTATTTCTTTCACCTCACATTACAAACACATTTCAGTTTGGTAATATTTGGTCTGCAAAGGTCTGAGAAAATGGCACCCTTAAGTGTTGTATGTGAGAGTGTACATTAGTTAAAAACTTTGAATGATGATTTGTAAGATTTTTGGAAGTTTGATAAATCTACATTTTTGACCTGTGAATTGTCCTTCCAGAATATATTAAATATATTTGCATAAGTACAGAAGACAGAAGAATAAGCTAATTACATTGTGGTTAGAAATGAAGCAGGGTCTTGTCCTTTAAAATATTTCTATAGTTCCAAATAAATAACCAAAAATGTGATGTGTGTGCATGGATAGGGAAGCAAAGCCCAAATACATTCCATATACTTACATGTACATATAAGCACATTATATTGCAAATATTTGAAATATATTCATTAAATATATTACATTATATTAAAATAGATTAAATTGATTATATTAAATTGTTACTGATTAAAACCAATGTTATTAAAGGATTATGTATTAGATATGTTAATTTTTTAAAACTGATGTTTTAGAATTCTATCCACATGCATTTGTGTTTCTAAAGTGCAACGGAACGTCTTATGGAACTGGGCAATATCAATCGGAGGTTTTTTTTATGATTTGTTTTATTTTATTTTCCATAATTTTATTGAGAAACAAATAACAATGAGACAGTTTCACATCAAATTGGTAGGACAGTTTCAATAATTAACACATTGCATACATTCTTCCTAGTGGTTAATTGCTGTACAAGATGCGGACATGATATCCTATTTACAAACACCATTAGAACAAATCCCTCTATTCATTAGGAGAATGTAACTATATATCTATCCTAACCACTTTGAACACACAGATACAAAATGGACATTCATCTGTATCACCTTTTTTGTTTAGTTCCGTCATTTGAATATTACAGGTGTGTTAACTCAGTAAAATATTCTGAAAGAGTCCAGTAGCCCATAATAGTATTGGGTCTTCCTCTTCACTGGCAATGTCAAAAACTGTTGACCTGAGTCCCCTACAGCTCAACATAACAGCATGGCTTTACTTCTTGTATTTCGTTTTTATACTTTTCTGCTGGATGGTTAAGACCAAGGTAAAGCAGGACCTATGCAACAAGAGTTGTAGCTTTTGGGACTGATAAAGGTCAGTGAAATCCCCTCAGGATAACAATCAGAGTTTGAAAGAAGCAGATTTTTATTTTCTGCTTTGTATTCCTCCAAAAGCCTTTAAAATGTTGACATGTAACCCTACCAACTTAGAATGTGTGCTATGGTTGCATGTTTCTTTGATAGTTAAATAAATGTTCGGAATTAAATGAAAACAACATAACTCGAGCCTGAGGTTTAGGCTTGGGCACAGAGCGATGCTGACCTCGCACAGACCGCACCAGGCCGCAGCCAAGGTTACTGCGCTCC